AATAATTTTATTGTTTTATTCATTTTGCAAACTTCTTTGAGGGTTTGTTTGTTTTACAATCAAGAGATATATAAATCTTATGAAATAAATGAATAAATAAAAATTTCAAAATGCCAGTAACCTGAGAATATTATTAATTTGACACATCTAGTTAGAATCCAAACAAATAAAAGAGGCAAACTAAATTATTTGTAAACAGTACCTTTTCTTCTGGCGACCAAGATTCTTGGTGGTCTCTATTACGAAGCAGAACTTTAAGGGAGCATCAGTTAGTTCTTCCGAGTCCTGCAGCAGATGTGAAATGGCTAAAGAGTCTTGGCAGACTCTGGAAGACAGCTGGGTCCCACAGCATATTTCAAATATGGCTCTGTGTAGTTCAAACTTTAAATAAACACTGTCCCCCTGTGGGCTATGTGGTTACATCCATTTCTGCAGCTTCAACAGTTTCACATAGTTAGAATAAGAAGACAGACCCTTAAGGTTAAAGAGTGAGGATGTACAGCAAAACCATTAAATATAGCATGTTATCAAAGAAAGAAGCCTAGCAAATTATTTTAAGTGGTTTAAAAAACAACACTTTACATATGACTGAAAAGGGGTCCTTACTAGGACTTACATTTAAAAATGGCTTTCGCCTATGTTCTGTCCCATATTAACATTTGTACACACAGAAAAATATTGTATAAAGTGTGGCTCATGATGATTATTTTGCCTCTCCTTTTGTGTAATATGGTGGCAGGGCATTATCAAAATGTGCTTCATCCAGTTTTGAAAAGTGTCATGTGAAATGCTAGTGAACTGTATCAGAGGCTCTTTTGTGCATGATTCCAGGGGTGGTAGCCTATTAAGTTCTACTCATGGCAAGTTAACGGACCTCACTTAGCCATGTTCATTCATTTCAGCATGTCTACTCTGAGGAACTCTTCATTGAATACCATCCCAAGTCGCTCAGTACAGTCATACTGTTCACATGAAGGTTAGAAGGAGAGACTCTATGATGCTTTCCTGGTACTTAGGGATGGAATTTGTATTCTGAACCCCATTCATGTTATCCAAAAACTGTATGCATACCAAAGTTCACCAACCAAATTTCATGCACAAAAATAGTATATTAGGGGAAATGTTGATAAAAATGCATGTTTTAGTGGAAGTAACGCAAGAAATGGATTTTATTAAGGGAAATTACTTGCAAAACTGTGTTTATTCAGCAAAATGGCATATAAAAATGTATCAATTATGAAAAATGCACACTAAAATAATAGAATAATAGAATAATAGAATTGGAAGGGACCATAAGGGTCATCTAGTCCAACCCTATGCAATGCAGAAACCTAAGCTGAAGCATTCACAGCAGATGGCCATCCAACCTCTGCTTAAAAACCTTCAAGGAATGGAAGTCCACCACCTTCTCCACTGTCAAACAGCTCTTACTGCCAGAAAATTCTTTCTGATGTTTTGTCAGAATCTTTCTTGTAACTTGAAAATGCTGGTGAATTTTCATGGAGACTTAGATTTCCTCCCAACCTACAAATTGATGTTGAAATATGGAAAACTGAAGTATGGAAAAACAAGAGTGACAGAGTGATTCATGCCTATTGCTCTCTGCTGCCATTCTGAGTGGCTCAGCTATTAAATGTGAGGTATTGTATAAAATGGGACACTAGTAAATTACAGTATGTCCAGGCGTCGTTTAGAACCATGCATTTAGTACCAGGAAATACCACGTGACCCAAACTTTTTTGTATAATGTGTTCCAGTTTGTTCCCTATTTTGGGATTTCATCATGTGAAAGTTGCTGCAGTGGATGTTAAAGATGTTCCATATTCTTCTGGTCGTCACAATGTGAGTGTAATGCCCAAAGGGGAAAATGCATTGGAAGAATTAGCAGGCTGGATATGTAGCAGGTTCTTTCATGCTCAAGTTCCCAGGACAATACCCAGACGCGCAAGGCACTTGTAACCTCATTTGGAGTTGCTTCAATACACCTCACTTAAACAAATTTATCAGCTTCCTGAGGGGTTTTATATTCTCACAAATGTCTCAACATGTCATTTATCATGGCCATTGTTTTAGCTAGCCCTCTCAGTTTTCATTATGGAAGCAATTGAAAGCATTGCAAACTGTGAAGAGCTCTAGCATGGATCCATGCTAAGGCAGAAAAATTAATTTTCCTACTGAAAAATGTCACTCTTAATCACAAAATGTCTGCCATTTCCAAAGCCAAACTCCAGTAGGTGGCTGACAAGAAGGTCAGCTAATGTGTGTAGTTTGCCTGCTTCTAAGCAGTTACGTAGGGCCTCTAGGGGCAGAACAATAAGTTTCTCTTGCGATGTAGAGCTCCACCCATAACTTAAAACTTATCATTGTATTTCCATATTGTATAGCTCCATATCATCACGACATTATACAGTTCCCTAGCCTCACTGTACTTCATTGGCTGCCAGAGTTGGGGGAGGCACAGAAATGACATCACAACATGGGGTAAGTATGGAGGGAGTGATACCATACTTGGCACAGAGACACCATTTCTGGTGGTGCCTCAGTGCCATTCATACTCGGTAATTCTGGCCCAAGTTCTAGAGATGCTCCATTTTTAAAAAATAAAGAATTGGCCCCCCCATCAAGACTTCCCTAATATAACCAAATAAGAAGCTATCTGACCACCCCCTTTCCTTTTCACTGGAAACATTCATCGCTTCTCGCTTTTATATTGGAGCCTTTTTTTAGCTCCTGCAGCACATTTCCCTCATGCTTGTTTTCGCGGGAAGAGCAGATGACTATGCAAAGCAGGAAGAGCTGCTGTTCCAAGGGCTCTTCGTCAGATCCCTGGGGGAGAGATCGCCGCAGAAAGACGTTACCTTATAAGAGTAGAGAAGAAGTCTTGGAGCTGCCACTGGGACTTCAACTGGGGTCAGACATAATAATAAAACCTTGACTCAAGCAAGTGCTGAAACTTCTCATATATATAAGGCATACATGCAGCTACAGAAATTGCCTCTCCCTCAGGTTCTTAGCTGTGTTCATTTTAAAAGATAGGACCTGGAAGCAAATTGTATTCAACACACACACACACAAAATTTGTAGGATGCCCTTGAATGGAACTCTGGAATTGGAAGGATCTATAGAAACAGCAGAAAAAAACATGTCATGTGAAAAGCAAAATCTTTCTCTCTGCCACACTAGGTTTTTATTGCATATGGAGGGTTTTGGTTTTTTCAAAAAAGGGGAGCAATTTAACACACACAAAAACAGCCCAATTTGCAACTCTAAGTATTTTAGTCTAAATGCCATCTGCTAAATTTTTTCTGACTGTATACCGTAAGCTGGCACCAAAGGAACAATGCCCAAGGCCTGCAGATGAACAACAACAGGCTCAGAGTAGTTCTTTTACAGGCCCCATGGAAAGGAATGGAAATTATCCAGTGTTTAGTGGAATGTTCCCCTGCTAGATTTCTTGTGGTTTCAGCTACAGTCCTCAACCTTTAGGCCTGCTTAAGCCATTTTAATGCAATCACTCCCTACAGAATGCAAAGCAGTCTAAGTTAATGCACATCCCTACATTTTATGGAAGCAAATTCCACAGTTCTTCCTTTTGTCTATTTGAATCTCTTGCTATCCAGCTTATCCCCCTACTTGCCTTTTCCCTAAACTAAACATTGCAACTTTCCTCCAGTCCTCCACTATCCGCCACAACCTGAGCATCCATTTCCTAGCCCTTCACTTCCAGCTGAGACCCCATCAGAGTATAGGTTAAGGTTCCAACCCCCTACCTCAAATGTGCATTACTTACACTTACTTATCTAAAATGGCAAATGCAGTTGAATTGCTCATTCACCCAGTTTGGAGAGAACAGTTTGAAGCTTTTCACAATCTTTTTGATTTTTTTGAATAATTTGCTGAAGACACCAAACTTGGAGACTTCACTGTCAACCCCTAATACCAGATCATTGATAAGAAAGCTATAGTGATGCTCCCACATCAGACCCTTGGAGGATCCTAGTACTTACTTACCTCTGTTGTGAGAACTTCCATTATTCCTGTTTCCTGTTCTTGAACTACGTACATAAAGAGACATCCTATCACAGCTAAGTTTACCCAGGAATCTTTGCTAAGAGACTTTGTCAAAAGTTTTTTGAACGCCCAAGTACCACATATATATGGATCAGTTAAAAGGACTAATCCACAAATCTAACTTCTTTTGATATGGTTTGTGGATCCAGGCTGAGGTCATTCAAAGTGGCCATGTGCATCTTCATTCACAACTCTCCTGTACTTTAGGACCTAACTACACACAATGTTGACAACATGATTAACAGTAATGTTGTGTGATTTTTTAAAAAATCCCTAATAATAATAATAATAATTTCTTATTTATACCCCACCCATCTGGCTGGGCTTCCCCAGCCACTCTGGGCATCTTCCAACAAAATATTAAAATACAATAATGCATCAAACATTAAAAGCTTCCCTAAACAGGGCTGCCTTCAGATGTCTTCTAAAAGTCTGGTAGTTGTTGTTCTCTTTGACATCTGGTGGGAGGGCGTTCCACAGGGCAGGTGCCACTACTGAGAAGGCCCTCTGCCTGGTTCCCTGTAACTTGGCTTCTCGCAGTGAGGGAACCACCAGAAGGCCCTTGGTGCTGGACCTCAGTGTCCGGGTAGAACGATGGGGGTGGAGACGCTCCTTCAGATATACTGGACCTCACATTCAGCAGTTAGGATAGGAGAAAAAGCTTAAGTTGGTGCCAATGGAAGCTTTTATCCTAATGTCAGTTTTGTCTCACAGAGTAAAACCATGAGGGTGGTACTGGAACCATAAAGCAAATTCTACCTGTTGAGTCTCCCCAAGAGAAACTTTCAAATCTGTCATCCCCACCATTACTAAGGAATGCTGTACAGGCAGAAAAACCAATCAACTCTAAATAGCTTATTTCTGCATCATTTTGATACCACAGCTATCTTGAAGGGACTGTTCAAAACATACCAGGCATGAACCATAAATAATTTCAGTATGAATCCATTTGAATCCTTTAATGCACAGACTCAGAAGGTCTTAAGATATACACAGTATCCGGTAGTTTAAAATGTAAAAACAATCCATCAGAAAAAAGGCAAAAAAGTTACTTTTCAAGCTTAGTAAACATACATTACAGACTTAAGCAATACATTTATCAAAGACTTTTGCACTGTATTTGGCTCTAGTAGCAATTTTGTAATTCGTTTTTTAAAATAGCAAATCTGACAATGATGTTTTAAAATTTTGTAATAAATGAAGCTACTGATCTTATTTACAGTATAAATAGGCCTTTTTGGGGGGTGAAGATGATGTCCTGTCACATGTTGAAGAAAAGCGGTATCTTAGCTCTTAAATGCAAAATAAAGCATTTTGAAAGTAAAACTATATATATTATATATATTTATATATATATATATTTATAAATAAATATCTTCTGTTCTGAAATTCCCATGTGTGTCTTCTCAGCTCTAGAATACATACAATTTGTGGTCAGAGTTCTGTTGGTTTGTGTCATAACATTTTTCACGAATCTTTATTCCTCTGCTGCTGCTCTAGAAAACTGCTTTTCATATAAGCTCATGACATGGTGGACAAACTGATACTGTTCGCAGGTCTGGATCATTCCTCCCCTGGGAAGAGAAGCGGGGGAGGGGGGAGATTTGGAAGCAGATATCCATTGTGTATCTCAAAACGATTAACAAAAATAACACAGCACAAATTGGGGTGGGGGGAGCTAAACACAAAAAACTGATCCTAAGTCTACTGGTTTTAAATAGTCTTCCTATTGGTAATGGTATTGAGTTCCTAGGGTTGCATCTAAGATCACTGGGGTAACATACCAGAGTTTTAAGGTCTAGGATCTGTGCTAAATGCTTCTCAAAAAAATTATAACAAAATATAACATTAATCTCACTGTATCTGCTTGGCATAATCACACTGGTAATGGATCACAGGAAATTGTTTTTAGGTCATAGACTTCGTTTGGAAAAAGTGAGTTTAATTCTGCAGTTGTTGATACAAAGCACAACAAAAAGGTTTTGAATCGGGTTTCCCAAATCTATTTACACCTGGCCAATACAGTCAGAATAATGACAGCCATGGTATAGTGACAGTAAGATGGAAGGTTGCAGCACCCTGCCTGATTGCATGTTTGGGAAGCTAACTGAAACCTAATCAACGAAAACCAGTGCTCCTCTCTGACTACATGCCCTCACGATGCACAAGAGCTGTTGCTGTCAGTGCTATATGCATTCTCTGTGATACAACATTTAAATTCAGAATATGGTATCCGGCCCACAATTTTACATTCTTTGGAAGTCAGATGAGCCAGGTGAGGTTCACCCTGGCTTTTGGGTGAAGCAGCAAGATATGCTTTTTAATGTTCATGGAAAGTAAGAGATAAATATGGTGTAGATTCCAAGCCTGCTTATTTATTTAGACGAGTATTTATTTATACACCACCTACTGGTGTTGGATCAACTGTGTTCCCAGTCCTTTCAGTACTTCTCAGCTGTTACTGAAGCTGAAGGCATGTATCAGCTTTCCTTTCATACAATCTCTATAGCAGGCATAGGCAAACTCGGCCCTTCAGATGTTTTGGGACTACAGCTCCCATCATTCCTGACCACTGGTCCTGTTAGCTAGGGATGACAGGAGTTGTAGTCCCAAAACATCTGGAGGGCCGAGTTTGCCTATGCCTGCTCTATAGCCTTCCTGGTACAGGTGAAATGGTTACATATGACCACAAGATGGCAATCTAGCTACAGGAGTGATGTCTGAAGTACTGTTGTTGTACACTAATCCCGTCCGTCCCCAATTAACTTTCCATGTTACAATTGGAAGATAGGAATGCCCTCATGGGATCTGTATTCATATCTATACATCTGTATAAAATATATATTCCCCCCCAAAAAGCTATAAATTTCTCCCTGCATATTCAGTTAAGCTTATTCTAAGTCTGAGTTGACATTCCACTTCGCTAACATCACCCTGCTCACGTTGCATGGTAACAGTGAATCCAACTAATTTCATCTATTTAACAGTTCAAGTTTACTCTGAAGTTATGTTTCAGTGATTTCAGTGAAACTGATCACATATTTAAGTCATCAAATCAGTATTTCTGACATTCTGAATATACCTGTCACTTGTAAATAATACAAATGTAATTAATTCTCATCAAAACCATCCATTACATTCTTAATAGTCTGTAATTTCGTTTTTATCTTGTGTGGCTGCTTCCAGTATTTTTTCTCAGAAATATCAAAATTTGTCATTGTAATGTACCCTCCTTTTTTTTTTACTAACTACAATGGAATAAAAACAAGAAAGAGATTTCTTAAAAAAAGATAAAATCAAATGGTAAAAATGTTTCAACGTTTCAAAAGGCAAGACTTAAAAGTGAATGTAAAAAAAGGGGGGGAGCCTTCCTGTTGTACAAGACCTGGTTCACATGAAATGCTAAACCATGGTTTATAAACTACGATTTAATTTGAGTGTCCAAACCCAGCCCCGTGGCTCAGTCATGCTTTATCAACCACAAACAAGCCACATGAGTAAGCCATGGCTTATTGTTGATTCATAAACCTTGGTTTACATTAGCCATGAACCCAGCCCTTGTATCTATTTCCTAATACTTTCTTTAAACAACACTGATGGGCAACCTGTAGCTCTACATATATTGCAGTACTCCAGTTCCTATCAGCCCCAGTCCACATGGGACAGTGGTCAGGGATGATGGGGTTTATAGTCCAACGGCACCTGGAAGACCACAGGTCTCCACCCCCGTTATAAATGATTTGTACAGCAGCAATACTTCCCAAAGAGACAAACTCTGTTCATATGCTAAAAAAGAAGAAAGCACTGGGTCTCCAGAGTTTCTTTTTGAAGGAAAAGTGAAAAAGAGAATAATACAAGATTCTCTCACCTGTCTAGCCGTAGCTGGCAGGTTGTTCTGAGTATGTCAACTGCGCCCTCGTTCTTCCACTGTTTGCAGCAAATGCTGGTGGCAATAAAGCAGCCAGTCCTACCAATCCCTGCACTGGCCAGAGAGAGAGAGGAACAGAGAATGAAGGTGGAAATCTTCAGAAAGAGCATCAATTATTCTCTTAGTATTTCAGATGTACCCTTGCCAAATGTACAAAGCCCTGGAGAGAAACAAGCTGCATGCTCAGGATCACTCCTCACGGCAAGTCAGACTCTAGGAATGTTCACTGGTAACATTCAATCAGTGAGTATAGTGTGTGTACCTTTGTACAAAACTCCTGAGCTACACAAATCAACAAGTGTACACTTTCGCACCTGCACTTGTACGTGTGTTGAGAGAGCTTGAACCTGTCTGTGTTCGGGTGGACATGTGGACAAGCCTTCTATCTTGTTTCATCCCCCACATGGCACAGTCAGCAGCAAGGGAAGAACAAAGCGTTCATAGTTTGTTGTAAATTGTGGTTTAACGCTGCAAGCCAGCCAGCCAGCCCAGAATGTGGGCAGAAACTATACCTAGGTCTGCGATAGGTTTTCAAATTTTAAGTAGCTGATTTTTTTTACTTTGGTAAGTGTGGTTTGAGGGACGCGGGTGGCGCTGTGGGTAAGAGCCTCAGCGCTAGGGCTTGCCGATCGAAAGGTCGGCGGTTCGAATCCCCGCGGCGGGGTGCGCTCCCGTCGTTCGGTCCCAGCGCCTGCCAACCTAGCAGTTCGAAAGCACCCCCAGGTGCAAGTAGATAAATAGGGACCGCTTACTGGCGGGAAGGTAAACGGCGTTTCCGTGTGCTGCGCTGGCTCGCCAGATGCAACTTGTCACGCTGGCCACGTGACCCGGAAAGTGTCTCCGGACAGCGCTGGCCCCCGGCCTCTTAAGTGAGATGAGCGCACAACCCTAGAGTCTGTCAAGACTGGCCCGTACGGGCAGGGGTACCTTTACCTTTACCTTTAAGTGTGGTTTGAAGAAAGCAGTAACAGATAAGAAGACTCAGTTAATCAGAGTGTACTTGCATCTTACATGTATTTAATTGGCCCTAAACCATTAAGCAAGGGGTGTGTCTGTATTAGTTTGTTTGTTTTTGCCCCCATCATTACAGAATATGTGGAAACTCAGTTGGCATAACCTCTGTGTACCCCATAAGGAGAGTTTGTGAGAATCTGGTATGCAGAGAGACAGTTTAATAAGATGTTTTCCTTATCCAGAATAAGCAGTTCTCATTTATTTGAGGAAATGAAAAAGACAGAAAATAATGTTCTAACCATCAGCCATATATATATTCAGTGAAAGATTACCACATAGATTGGAGGAAAATGTTACAGGGTGCAATGCCAGACAGATGTTAGGTGAGCCATCTGGCTTCTGTCAGGCCTGATATGTCAACATGTCACTTTAAATAATGGAAGCAGCAAATAACAATTACTCCTCAGTCCAAGAGCTTTTCCCATTTTGCAGGTCTCAAGAACTGCTGGTAGCATCTCAAATGGATTTTCATTCATTGTCACTTAGATAATTTTGGCCACCAGCTGTGCCCTCGGGGGAAATGCTACTTGTGGGCAGTCTTTTCATCCAGCTCTATAGAGATGTATACAGGACCCAAGATATAATTTGATTTCCACCAACCACCACCACCACCAAAATAAAATAAAAGATCCCCTGGTCTATAACACTGCAACAATATTGTTCTTCAGGTTAATCTTTGGTTATAGTCAGAGTTGTTCTGGGTGGCAGCAAGTGATAAATTCTATTTATTATTTTAAAATTATTTTAATGAAAAATGAGAAACAAAAGTGACAAAGCATGTTGTATAATGGAGTATTATTTAAGGACAGTTGCTACATGCATTTTGCAGCAGTACTTTCCTCATTTAAACAAGTTACAAAATGTATCTGAATGGCTGGGATAAGGGCATTGGACAAGAGGACCATCAAAACTGGACAGCTAGGAGTCTGGATAAAATAGCATTCTGTTAAGATACATTGACACAGCACTTGTGAACACAGGATAAACTGAAAATTCTGGCAAAAAGCTGTTCTAGAAAACTGATTTTGCTATATTATGCAGATATACTTTTAAGATTACTTTAAGAGGTTTGGCATACTGATATTTGTGCATTGATACAGCACAGTACATTTAAGGCCACCAGGATCTCATTGGTTCCCACTCCCCCAGGCCAGTTTGTACAAGGAATGCTCATATTTGGTTTTAAAATTTCTCCGTTCATTATATATGGTCAATTATGGACTCTTTCTGTAACCGTATCAAAAAGGGTATCTGCTTTAAAATAGGAATGTTCCCTGCTGCCTGCCGAAGTCCAGCGGTATTAAAAAAAGGAACTTATGTTATCAGAACCTGAATTTATTTTGTATGAGAACACTAACTAGTCTTTCATTTTGATGTATAATTTATGATAGCTGATCTCTGCTCATTTTCCATGCATGCTTGGCTGTTCTTATGATGTTCATAAAAAAATCAAAATCTATTTTAGTATTTATTTTTATTTAAAAAGCAAGTCTGTCATTTTCTACTGTGAACAAGCCCAGGAAAGCCCAAGAACAAAGCTATGAATTTTTACTAGGATAAAGATGATCTTGATCTCTCTCTCCTTCCCTCTTGCTCACACACATAGATCATTCAATATTAACAGCGACTTTCCCAGAGACTATGAGTCACTTCATATGAATCCAGTTCATATGCTAACTGGGCAATTCTCACAGTGGAGGAGAACTCCTGTCCACTATGTATTGAATGTACCATGTGACCCCAGGACTCCACCTAGAGAATGATATATGAGAAGGTCAAATTTGCATAATTTCCCCTATATATCTCTCTCTCTGTGTGTGCACACACATGTGTATAATGTTGATTCACCTGCAAACTCCTTCAGTGTCACCTGGATGTCATTACAAAAAATGAGTGGCAGAATTGGGGTGGGGGAAATGGCTGCAGCTTCACCTCAGAAACCGGGTCACTGCCAGCCTAGGAAAAAGAATTAAATGAGCCTATCTCTACCCCCCCTTTTTAAACTGACTGTTTCCCCACATTGCATGGTTAATTAAGCAACCCACGCTGTTTTCCATTCCATCTGCACAGCAGATGGGGACAATAAAAGAGTCAGGTCACTTCCAGCACAAACCCAAGTGAAAATGTCGGTATAAGGTTTTCACATCATAAAGGCTTCTGGGGCCATACTTCTGTTTGGTTTTTTTTGGGGGGGGGACTTCTCTTTGAAGTTCCAGTGCCAAATTAGAAGCAAGAGATGCTTCCTCACTACCTTACCTGACATAGGCTAACAGAACAGTAGTTAAAAGCAGAACTTCACAGGAGGTGGATCATGCATAAATTGTACTCTCTAGTTACAGGTAGGTAGCCGTGTTGGTCTGCCGTAGTCGAAACAAAATAAAAAAAAATCCTTCCAGTAGCACCTTAGAGACCAACTAAATTTGTTATTGGTATGAGCTTTTGTGTGCATGCACACTTCTTCAGATACCTGAACTCTCTAGATCAGCATTGCGAGAGAAGGTTACTTTAACACAAGACAACTTCCTTAAAACTTCCCATGTTCTTTCCTCTCTCTTCATGGTGGTTTAACAATGCATAATTAAGCTACCTGCAGTGAACTATGATTGGAGCATTCTGTTCTTCTGCACACTGTGTGGCCTCTTCCACTTCCTGAACCAGCTGCAACAGGGCTGGTGCTTGATCAGGAGTCTTCTGATCTGGCCAAGAAGTATACCAGTAGTGTTTCAGATTTCTTATTTCTTCACCCTTCTATAAGAGAGTTATAAAGAGATTTATACAGGCAACCAGAAAAGGTATTTTCCAAAAGGTGAGACTCCCTAATGAGTTTTAAAAAACATTTTCTTGGGGTATGCAGTTTACTAACCCTTCTCAAAGGGGATTTGTGTAATAAGGGCTGATAACAAGATAGAAAATTAAATATAAAGATGAACTATTTAACCTATCTTAAAGCTACATTATTCTCCCCAAGGATGCATAAGGATCTGTTGTGCTATGTAGTCTTCTTATTCCAAAATTATTATTATTATTATTGAAAATTATATATTTTCCTGTCTTTTTGCCCAGATTTAATTATGTGTTGCTTTATTTAAAATTGCAAACTGCAACAATATCTTTGCAGCTATCTTTCATGAATGGTATATAAATAACTTTAAATATACAATTAACGCCAATTGCTGGCAAAGCCACACTGACTCTGCTGCTATCCTGAGATGGCCTCCTGGACTAAATTATGACATCAGAGTAAAATTAAGGCTTGCAATACTATGTTGGCAATGTAGGCAATTTACACTTTTCAGAGGTCATACTTTCTTGCTGCTATTCAGCAAACTGAAGAGCTGTTTTCAAAATATAATTATGTTCTTAATAATATTGGGAACATAAATGGAAATATATCATATTTATAACCTAATAGACAGAAAGCTATTTCTAACTGCACATACCACATGTCACTCTCTGTGAAAGCGTAAGACATAAAGCTTTCTTTTTCAAAAATAATAATAATACCCCTGTTGAATCAACAGATATGCTGCTCAGTTTTCAGGCATGCTAATTAATTCAGCCTGCTTCACTTTATGGCTGCTTAATCTTGTGCCCGATTGGAACAAGAGGTCAATGGAATGTTTGCTTCAACCTTTTAGGCATTGATGGGGAATTTTTACACTGTGCTAAACAGTTACTTTCAAATATATGCATCTATGGAAGGGCCCAAGAAAACCAACATTTAGTACTAAAACTTAAATCAGCTTAAATGATTTAACTTAATTCCAGTTTCTGGAAACTACAGGAGGGGAGAGTGCTGCTCTTGTGCTCAAATCCTGCTTGCTGGGTTCCCACAGACAAACTTTCAGCCACTGTGAGAACAAGATGCTTGACTAGACGGGCCATTGGCCTGATCCAGCAGGCTCTTCTTATGATCTTAAACTTTAAATCAGTTGAAATCATTGGAGGGCAGTTGATTTTTAGGCGTTCTGATTTGTGGGAATGGCCTGAAGGAAATCCATAGCACTAAGCATTTTGACCAGTGAAGTTTGGATTTAGTAAATAAACAAAACCCAGAGAAAAACTGAAACCACCAACACTTAATACTCCAACTGTACAAACTATGACAGAAGATGTTGCTTATGGGAAGTGTGGAAGATTTACTGTTTTATGAATCTCCATATGTCATTAAATTACGCTTATGATGGTTGCTGGCAGAAGAGGGAGAAAGGATCTTGATTGCACTTGGTTGCTCTGTATGGCATTGGGCAAGAGTCCTGTGTAGCACCATTTGTACCAAAGATGGTGCTGGAAGGAGCCTTTGTGGCACAACAGCACTGAAGACACCCAACTGCAGACATTATGCAGCTGGATACCTGCTCATGCCCCTGGCCCAACAACATTACAAACATTTACGAACAGAAGCACAAATAGAAGTGGCCTTGAACACTTTGCTTCCAGTGCAACAGGTCACAGGAGGTCAGGCTGGGATGTCTGCTACTCAGTCAGAGAACACATAAAGATAAATTAAGCATTATAGTTGGCAGCTGAAAATGTAGTTTGGTCTTTAACACCACTTAAAACCTTCCAACAAAACAACACTGTATCCAACTTCTCTTTTATAAATCCTTTAAAAGACCCCCAAATCTTTACCGACAAAAGGCTCAGTAGACTTTAGGTTACAGTGGAAGGAAACCAAGCTTAAAGAGCTATAATAAAATAATAATAATAATAATAATAATAATAATAATAATAATGGCTTTTTGAAATACAGTGGTACCTCGGGTTAAGAACTTAATTCATTTCGGAGGTCTGTTCTTAACCTGAAACTGTTCTTAACCTGAAGCACCACTTTAGCTAATGGGGCCTCCCACCTCCGCCACTCTGCTGCTGCTGCGCCATTTCTGTTCTCATCCTGAAGCAAAGTTCTTAACCCAAGGTACTATTTCTGGGTTAGCAGAGTCTGTAACCTGAAGCGTCTGTAACCTGAAGCATATGTAACCCGAGGTACCACTGTACAACTGAGAACAAAATCCTTACTGAGATCTTTGAGAGGTAAATAAGATAAAATTAAACAGGTGGTTGTTGTTCTAGAGCTCTCTCTTGAAACTCTCAGTCTTCACTTCCATCCTCAAAACATTTTGATAAAACACTCCTGGTTTTTGTTGCTAAGAAAAAATCCTCTGCCCGTTTTTTGCAGCTAGTGAAGCACACTAAATAGAAGGGACAAAGGGGAATCTAAAAATGTTGGAATGGGATAGTGCAAGCACCGCTGTTATTCTAAAGCCATACATTTAGATTCAGGGTTGCAAACCTTATTGGACCAGCAAACACATTTCCAATTTCGAGAAAGTGTTGTGGTAGCTGTCATATCTACCTCCTCCTGACAACCTCATGCATGCTGTGGGAAGTCACCTGTGTCCTGATGGTCCTGATTGTGGAGATCACACAATATTGACACATCTCCATGACACACAATACTGCTGCTGCTGCTGCTGCTGTTTACCAACAGAGAGCATTCCCCAGGACCAGGAAAAATACACAAGGTAGGCATACCACACCCACTATTGCACACAGAGCACAGGAATACACTCACCACACCCATACGGACTATGGGGCTCTCTCTCTCTCTCTCTCTCTCTCTCTCTCTCTCACACACACACACACACACACTATAACTTCACATTGACATAGCCATACACACCTTGCTGCCTCTCACACACAGACCACACATGCAAACAGACCACACATACACCTCTCCCTCTCTGTCCAAGTAATTTCTGAATTACCTACATAATTCAGAAAATCCCCCCTATGGCTGAAGGAAGGGCCTGCTGTTTCCGAACCACCCCCCCCCCCCCATTGTAAGGCCCACCAATGCGATGCCTGTGGGTGCCAGGCTGGTGATTCCTGCATTTAGAGGCTAGTCAATGTACATAAGGAACATTTACTGAGCAAGCATGCCGTAATAAATGACCGGTGCTAGAATTGTGTAGAATGACTCACAGAATTCTTCCGCTGGATGAGCACAAGTGGCTGGAAAGTCTTTGAGCTGCACACATTCAATCTAAAATACCTGAATGCTTTCATTACTATATTGCTTACATGGTTGGAAACCAGACAGACACATAATCAGTGCAGTAATGAAAAGTGGTGTTTCAGCTGTGTTTTATAGGCTGGATATAAAATGGCAACTTTATGAGCAACCCTGGAAAGGCCTTTTTCATGCAGCTCCACATATACCTGAGTGAGCTTACCTTTAGGGTAATAAGCCTTAACCGGTAATCGTCTGCTTGTATAACTCTTTTAACTGTGATTTCAATTCCTTCATAGGTAACCTGTTCTTCTGGCCAGTATTCTGTACATTTCTGGAAAAAATATAAACCATACATATAAAATAAGTTATCGGCTGGCACAGGAGTGACTTTGCTGTACTAAAAAAAGTACACTTAAAAAGCAAAATAAGCGACATAACTCCAAAATCTACAATAACAACTTTATTAAGGATCAAGCAATCTGTCACAAAATAGGGGGCAAGGTTTTGGGTTTTGCAGGACTCTTCTTCAGGCCGGATATTGCGTAAAGCAGGGTGGAGTGTGTGTGTGTGTGTGTGTGCAGAAGCATACAAACCAAAATGGCCAGAATTTGTAGCCAAAACCTGATCTCATTCAGATTGAATTAGTGTCTGCTAGAGCAGAATGAGGGATGCGGGTGGCACTGTGGGTTAAACCACAGAGACTAGGACTTGCTGATCAGAAGGTCGGTGGTTCGAATCCCCGCGACGGGGTGAGCTCCCATTGCTCGGTCCCTGCTCCTGCCAACCTAGCAGTTTGAAAGCACGTCAAAGTGTAAGTAGATAAAAAGGTACCGCTCCGGCGGTACCCTCAGTATCCCTCAGTATCTCACTCAGTTATCAAGAGACATAAAGGTTCCTTTACCTTCACCATCTGCAGTGATCATGGAGCCCAAGAAGGTAAAATCTGTCACTGCCTCCATAGAAGGGGAAGAAATGGAGGCAGATTTTACCTTCTTGGGCTCCATGATCACTACAGATGGTGACAGCAGTCACAAAATTAAAAAACGCCTGCTTCTTGGGAGAAAAGTGATGACAAACCTAGACAACATCTTAAAAAGCAGAGACATCACCTTGCCGACAAAGGTCCGTATAGTTAAAGCTACAGTTTTCGCAGTAGTGATGTATGGAAGTGAGAGCTGGACCATAAAGAAGGCTGATCGCCAAAGAATTGATGCTTTTGAATTATGGTGCTGGAGGAGACTCTTGAGAGTCCCATGGACTGCAAGAAGATCAAACCTATCCATTCTTAAGGAAATCAGCCCTGAGTGCTCACTGGAAGGACAGATCCTGAAGCTGAGGCTCCAATACTTTGGCCCCCTCATGAGAAGACTCCCTGGAAAAGACCCTGAAGTTGGGAAAGATTGAGGGCACAAGAGGAAGGGGACGACAGAGGATGAGATGGTTGGACAATGTTCTCGAAACTACCAACATGAATTTGACGAAACTGTGGGAGGCGGTGGAAGACAGGAGTGCCTGGCGTGCTCTGGTCCATGGGGTCACGAAGAGTCGGACACAACTAAACACCTAAAAAACAACAACTACCTTCTATCTCAGGGTTGTATGGTTTGTTCATCTCAGTCTTTAAGGTATATTTGTACTCTTATGGCAAATCTTATATGTTTCAACCACACTGCTTGGTAAAGGTGCCATATGAGCCATGCCCATAACCTTATGAGCATTTCTACCCATGATTCATGAGTCAGTGCCATTTGCAAGGGGGAACTCATAAAATGATGGACCCCCCACATGGTTTCTTGCAAAGGAACTGTCTAGGCCTCCAGGATAAATGTAATGAACGGAGGCCAAATAAAAGTTAAATAACGGAGATAATACGGAATATCCACATTTTTCTTTAGCATACACTGTTGCTGTACCTTTGCATGTAAGCCGCACCACCGGTTTACACCAGTGGGAAAATTTGTCACTACCATTTCATGAGTCAAATTTTCACAATTCTGTTCCCCCGCCTCGACGCAGTCCCTCCATGCTACAATAGCGCTCATCCATTGTAAAAACTGACAAATGTGCTAGTAACTATCTATAGCTCAGACTCCAAGCAGCTGAAATGAAGAACACCCACACATTTCCGTGGGCTGTCTGTCAGTTCAGATTAGACCTGACAAAAGTGCTGGAATAGTGAGCCACTAATCCTTGCATTATTGAACGTATATAGCAGGAACACAAAGACTCTTTCTCAAGCATCATGGCATAACAAAGGTTTCAGCTCTGCGTCGACACATTTTTAAGACATAGTGTTCATATAATAATTTGAAGCTGGCAGGGGTGGGGGTGGGGGGAGAGAAACATCAGAGCAGGGATGCTAACAAGAAGGGGACTGTAGCCTATATTTATATCAGAGTCTCATGGCATGATTTTATTCTTGAAATAAGAGGTATCAATGAAACATTGCGCTCAATCATATCTTTTGTTAATACAGAGACTGATGGCATTTACTAGACTTTTGTGATTAATGAATGACTTCTAACCAAATGTGTCTTTTGGAAAAAGTGAGTGCGCATGTGCCGTTAAGTTGCACAGCTTTCCTATCTCCTTGGTAACATCCAAGTAGCACTGCAGATACAAGTTGCGGTGGATAGATTGGAAGAAAAATGGTAGCTGACCGTGATCTATTAAGCTCTTTTGCCCACAGAATTGATTCACAGATTCACAGAATTTATCAAACCGATTAAGTCAAACAGTTGCTCAGCTATGTTTTGCATAGCAATCCATACTGCAATATGCCAATGCCTCAAGTAGAAATAGCAGCAGCTAGAAACAACAGGTTAAATCCAGACTCCTAAGGGGTGTCAACTGCCCAGTTGCTAACCTGGAAGCAAAACAGATGTTGGGAAAATGACATCAGTGACAGCAGAACTTGGAGGCAGCTCACTTTAAGGGGAGGGAAATGTAAGTTTGGGTACTCACTGTGTACTTTTATCCAGATGGGTAAGTGAGGCACCCACCCATGAATGGAGCAAGTCCTTGTTACCCCAGGAGAGGTAAATAAGCATGTGAACAGCTTTGATACCTACCCTACCCTTGCTAGCACAGAATCCCACATAGCAAGAGATTTGATCTCACCCTCCAAAGTAGGTTGGGACTCCATCTAGAGGGGAACCTTCCAGGAGCTCCATGCGACAGAGAGATTGGAGGATCCTATAGAGTAGATCATATCTGCTGATAAGTATCAACTCTATAAAGGTGACTTGGCTAGGATCTGGAACAGTCACACTGTTATCCCATGTGACATGAACAATGGTGTGTAGTGGAATTACCACTAGGGAGCTGAGTAGGAAAGGAAGGAGAAGAGGAAATGGCAGAGAAGAGAGAGAAATAGCTTTAAAAAAATTAAGGAAAAGAGAATTGGGTATGGAAAAGAAAAATGTGCTAAAGAAATGTAGGAAGAGATTAAGCAAAACAAGAGCAGAGTCAGAGCTCTGTCCTGGATGAGGCAAAGAGCTAAAATGGAGAGACATAAACACAACCAGGTTGTTACATAAATGCTGATCACAAGGTTCCCTGCCTCTCCTGGGCAGGAGGAATACCTAACCCAGTCATAGATGATGCCTTCTTCAGCACCCCATCCAGAGAAACTAGGGCACGGGAAGGAACGAGGCGAGAACTGGTGGACAAACGGGCACAACAAAGTTCTTGGATTGAAAATGGCTACAACATTATTGATTACAGATGCAGGTAGGTTTGGCTTAGGCACTGGTGTTCTTTCTGGTTGATACTCCTGCCTGTTGGCTGGAGATTTTCAGGATCGTGCCACAAGACGTGAGTCAACTAAGCTGGTCCTCATAAGCCAGTGTTTTCCCAACCTTGTGCTTCCAGCTTTTTGAACTACAACTTCCATCATCCCTGACTAGCAAGGACCAGTGGCAAGGGATGATGGGAATTGTAGTCCAAAAAAGCTGGAGGCACAAGGTTGGGGAAACACTGCAGTCCTAAGCTGCCCTCTGGAAGTTACTATGCCCATCTGCTCTTCCTCATAGGGCTCGGACAGAACTTCCAACCAGATTCCTTTGATTGGAGGACCCTGAATATTGCAATGCTGGAGGGGAAGGGGTGACGAACCACTTCATCCCCTCCAGAAAATAAGACTAAGGATTCAACCAATGCCTTATTACCAACGTTGTGTGATTCCTTATGAGGAAGCAAAAACCCCAGGATGGTCTAAATTTGTTTCCAGGCAAATTCTTTCCTGGCCCTGAATATAGTGACCAAATGTATCCAAAGCAAGTTTATGAACACAGGATCAACAGACCCAATTACTCGGTGGGTGAGCAGGTTAATCTGCCACTGACTTGAAGAGAGTGCAGCTGGCCTTTTAAGCTGCAGTGGTGGGCCAGAGAGACGCTTTGCTCCCTCTGGTCCACTGCTGATGCTCTTCCCACCCTGAAGGCTGTGACTAGCCCATTCAAATTATAGGTTTTGGTGGGCAAGCCCAGCATCCTCCGTGGCCAGGACTGCTGCAAAGGAGGGAGGGATCACCCTCTTCCTCCCATGTCCTGCTGAGCTGGGCTGGACTGCAAGCACTGCCCACCCGAGAAGCGGGGATAAGCGACCATTTCTAATCAGCATTCATCCTTGCAACTGGAGCGCTATAAGGGTAGAAATCATACTTCCCTAATAACATAATTAAGTGCTGGGAAAACACAGCATCCATTGCCTTTGGGAAAGTCATTTAAATCTCACAACAAACAAGTAACAAATGTATTATTCACCTTCTTCAATGTTGGGATGGGGCTTACATGTGTGCTGATGTTTTGCTCATCACGCCTTTTTAAAGCACTCCAAACCATGACTACTGAGGTAATTTACAAAGCAAACTAGCTTCATGAATGGAACCATATTTTATGCAATCATTTCCCATGGCTCAGGCATCCACTGTGGAAGCATCAATTACAACATGGGATGAAGAACAGAGACTCAGCATTACCTCATTCATCTCTTCTATATTGGTAATCATGACAATAATTGGAGAACGCTCCTGCCATACCATTCTCCAGAAATCACTGACAGTATTAACTATGGGTCCCTGAGTAGCAATGTACACCTTTTCTTCTCCTCTATAGCCCTGCCAACAAAGCAACAAGGGTTCATTAGTGTTGAGCTGTGCACAGACCTCAGTTATCCAGTCTTTTACCCAAGGACACTTAGCAAATCAAAAATAAATGTGCTAGTGCACTCTTTCTCCCACCTCCCCCCACCACACACAAGCCAAGGACAGAAGGCACAACTTCAATTTATACAAGCAGCAATGGTTGCTATGGCAATGGAAGCATTTATGCTATGCAAGAAGCATGGTTAAACCAAGCTCGATTATGCTCTTTTTGGTTTTGCTGGAGCCCAAGAGCTGTGTTAGACCCTCAGGGTTCAGCACTGCCCAGGCCTTGAAATCTCAGGTCTCCTTGGAGAAGGTGCAAGGGGAGCAAGTTTTCCACACCGCCAACAGCCCTTCTGAACTGCTGGATCCAGACATCCCCACCAGAGGTCTCCATAGGTTCCTGGCTGGCTCCCAGAACCACCCTTGATCCACAGGGACAAAGCAGAAGAACACAGCCAGGCAGAAGCTTCAGAGCTGCTGTTGAAGTAGCTAGATACCTGCATGAGGCTACTTGTGGGAAGAAGTAGGAAGGATATGTAAGCATCTGCCCAGATCAGGGTCTGGCTCAGAGCCAGGAGTAGATGGAGCCTACAGCTCATATATAAGTTCTCTGTCTGAGTTGTGTCAACTGCTACCAAATAAGCTCCAAGTTCAAGTGCAGGGCCTATATGAACCAGGGAAATGGCCATAGGGACAGAAAAGAGGGCTGGTGTCATTCTCTGATACTGAAGTAACAACAGCTGGTATCCAAAACAATTGCAAATGTTTTTAAAGACTACAAGGTGTGTTTTGGGGTGGGAATGGTGATCTATGGAATTTTGCAGCTGTTCATGAATAATTGAAACCCACTTACGCGGAAAACCCTTCAGGATTGCTTAGCTCTTACCCTGATGTAGTTGGCATTGATGTAAGAGCTCAGGGGATCATCTTGATCGTCTGAGGTAAGGCACACTCTGCTGTGAGGATCTGGAAAACCAAAGCAAGAGTCTAGAGTTATGTGCTACAAGGAAGCATGATACCCTTCTGTACTCTATGAACTGCATAGCTGTCCGCGACAGCAGAAAAGTAATGGGCAACGAACACTGTGGCAATGTCAAATCATCCAAAGATTTGATCCTAAAAATGTAGTAGTAGCCCTGGTGGATCAGCTCAAAAGCCTTGGTAAGTCTACTCTGCTTCCCCCAGGTGGCCATCCAGATGCTTCTGATAAGTCCAGGTATGACTTGAATGCACACAGAGGAACTGGTATCCAGTGGCATACTACCTCAGAAGAATGCAGGTGTTCCATTTAGATATCATGGCTAGTACCTATTGACAGATCTATCCACCATGGATTTATCTAATGCCCCTTTAAAGCCATCGAAGGCAAAAACGCATCACTACATCTTATGGCAGTAAGCAGACCATATGGACAGCAACATTGCACCAATGCTGGGGAAGCAGGCTACTTCTGCACCCATTACAATGCCTTTGTGACACTGCCTCTTTCTCCAGTTTTTTTTTAAAAATGCTATTTATTTTCTTGCTGCTCCGCACAGAGGCTTTTTACTGGTGTCAGCCATGATGGCTTGCTACTACAGTGGGCAGGCTTGGTCCCAGTCCCAGTGCAAAGGCAGAGGTGTTCCTTTGCACTAGAATTCTGGAACCTTTTAGAGGATGGAGCTTGGATTTGGGTCTCTTTGAAATTGGCCATTTTTATCCATTTAGGCTGGCACTTTTGAGACAAGTACATAAAGCAAGCAACCAGCTTCCTCAAAAGACGCTGATTCTTTCTGGGGTTTTTTCAGAATTCCACAACAAATTTGTAAATCTGCAAAAGATATTTCCTACAAAAGAAATATAAATTAGCTGAATTAAAGACTATTATCATTTCTCTCAGTAACTGCAATTAACTGTAGAGTTGCAGGCAACTGATCATTAAGTTAAGTGCCTGTTTACCTTTCATTTTAACTAGAGTGAACATCTGTTTTAGACAACCTTGAATATTTCTCCTTCCTCAAAAGCAACACATTCCACTTTGCAGGCAACTTTACTAATCAAGTGATTGCCGTCCTTGAATATGAAGCTGCAATAAGAAAAGGATGTCGAGTTTAACTGAAATAGACCAAGTCCTCAGAGCCACATGCACACATACGGCTTAGAGCCGTCCTTCATGGCCGCTCCCTGTCCTCCTCAAGACACGCAGCTCACACAGATATAGCAACAGATTGATTGGCAGGTGGTTGTGTGGGACTGTGCAGGCTGGCTTTGCAGCAGAAGAAACACTGGGAGCATGGCAAGAGGAAGGCACATGCTTTGGTAACCATTATCCCTTGCTACACATACTTCCCCTTTCTCTTCTGTATCCTATTTCAGACTGCACGTTCCTTGGGGCAAAAAGCTCCCTGCCCCTTGCTTTTGTGAAAGTACCATGCAAAGTTACAGAGGCTAGCAATGTTGACCTTCCTCTGCAAAATCTCCTTCTCTCCCAAAGAAATCCAAAAGCTTGCCAAGACCTCTCCATTACCAGCAATCTTACCAGTACGCTGGCACAAGGATTTGCTGCAGTGTTGCCCAAGTTCCAATGAAATCATTACAAACCACTCAGACCTACCCTTGCATGTGCCTAACTAAACAAAATGAAAATCAGGCGTCCTCCTCACGATCCCTCAATCATCTGTATATACTGAGGGAGAAATGAGAAAAACAAAACCGCAAAATAATAAAAATGAACTGATTATACTGTGTCAGTTATGGGGTGGGGGGAGGTTCATACCAAACATCAGCGAGGCTTTCGGCTTTCAGTTTCTGTATTATTCAAAAGGTCTTTAGAAGTTGCAAATAACTAAGTAGGTTGTAGGGCCGACTCTGTTGTATGAAAAAGGGGTAAAAGCAAAGAGCATACAGCCCAGTTGTTTGCATATAGAAGACACACACAGTTCAATTCAATTGTCTCTAGTTAAAGGGTTTCTGGCAGCAGAAACCTTTGTGTAAGACCTTGAAAAGCAGCTGCCAGCAAGAAGAGGCAACGCAAGGTTAGACTAAAGCTCAGTGGCAGAGCAAATGCTTTGCACGCAGAATGCTGCTGGTTCAATCCCTGGTGTCCCTAGGAAAAGACTCCTGTTTGAAACCCTGTGGAGCCCCTATCAGTCAGTGTGGAAAATACTGAGCTAGCTGGACCCATAGGCCTGAGGTGGTATAAGGCAGCTTCCCAAGTAAACAGACCAATGGTATAAGAAAGTACTTTGTGGAAGATCCTTGTTACTCAGTGGTTCTGCCTGACCAATCGGAAACTACATTTACTTGTTGATGTGGCCACTTCAGAGATACAGCTGGCTTTTTGTCAGAGGTCTCACTTACACCCTGCTGCACATCAAGAGAATCCATGAATGAAAGCAGCATGAAAAAAATCAAGCACAAGGATAGCAAAGCTTATTCCATCGTCTTTCAAGTGTTTTTTAAAAGCTCACAATCATGTGCAATTTCACACACTTCAATATCACACAGTGCAAGAAACTTCAGCTTGACGAACAGCTGTAACGTGGCTATGGTGCTTACTTGGGAGAATTGTTTTGTAGCGATTCTTTCGGACCAAACCTGGAATATCATATTCCTTCGGATCAACAAAGTTCATCGGAATTTCCTGTTGAAAGATACACAATATGAGCCATTAACAGATTCTGAAGGGACAGGAAGAAGCAGAATCTTGTTGTTTTCCTTTGAATGTGAAGTAGTGGCAGCAATGAAATTAGCTCAAAGATGTGATGTGACATTTCTAGTTATTTTTTTATTTTTTACACTCCAAAATCAGATTCCTAGATTCCTGGGAGAGAGTCTCTTAATATATATATATATATATATATATATATATATATATATATATATATATTAAATGCTTCTGAAAATACTCACTAAGGAACACACAGTTAAGAGCTACTTTTAACACTTAGGAGAATGTTGTGACCAGAGGCTTATGCACCAATCTTGCAGAGGGTGAAGGTGCTTAAATACACTGAAGCCAATGGGTTATAAACAGGTTGACTATGTGCAGGATTGAAGCCATAGCATTCCCTTAGATATGGAAGCAGTAGATGAGCTGCAGCACATGAAAGGCTCTTCCTGGGGAGCTAGCGTGACTTCTCATGTAATTTATTTTATTATAGGTCAGTACTTTGCACTTGGGGACGCGGGTGGCGCTGTGGGTAAAAGCCTCAGCGCCTAGGGCTTGCCGATCGAAAGGTCGGCGGTTCGAATCCCCGCGGCGGGGTGCGCTCCCGTCGTTCGGTCCCAGCGCCTGCCAACCTAGCAGTTCGAAAGCACCCCCGGGTGCAAGTAGATAAATAGGGACCGCTTACAAGCGGGAAGGTAAACGGCGTTTCCGTGTGCAGCTCTGGCTCGCCAGAGCAGCGATGTCACGCTGGCCACGTGACCCGGAAGTGTCTCCGGACAGCGCTGGCCCACGGCCTATAGAGTGAGATGGGCGCACAACCCTAGAGTCTGGCAAGACTGGCCCGTACGGGCAGGGGTACCTTTACCTTTACCTTTTTTACTTTGCACTTGCTGGACTGTAATTCTTGTCCATTTGTGCAGAACCCATTGCTGACATTGGCCTGGTTCACATATAAGGCTAAGTCAATCGACGGCTAAGCATGAAGCCACCCCCAAACAAACCACAAATGGTAAGCCAAGAACATACCTTGAATATAGCTTGTTGCTTGTTTGGAGTGAAACAAACCACAAGCCTGGAGAAAGTGGGCAGAGAAAACTTTTTCTCCCTCTCTCATAACATTGGACCTTGGGGATATCAATGAAGCTAAATGTTGGTGGGCATTCATGCAGCACATGGTCAAACTATGGAAACAGCTCCCACAGGAGGCAGCGATGGTCCCCCACTTGAATGGCTTTAAAAGAGGATTAGACAAATTCATGGAGGAGAGGGCCTTCAGTGGCCAACTAGCCACAATGGCTATGATCTACCTCCATGGTTGGAGGCAGGAATGCTTCTGAATACCAGTTGCTGGAGGGGAGAGTCCTGAATCCTGAATGTGGGTTTCTCCCAGCTGTCTGTGAGAACAGGATGCTGGACGAGATGAGCCACTGGCTGGATTCTTACAAACCCAGATTATCAAGATACTCACAAAAAACTCTGTCTGGACTACAAAAGAATCTAATGCTTTCTGGTGTAGCTCCTCCTCAGTGAGAACGTTTGATGCCGTCTGGAGGTATTCTCGAGCTGACTCTTCCTTGGGGGACATAATATAGCCAAACCCTTGCTCAGAACAGCCTGGAGTGCACATGTCCAATGTGAGTGAAACATTTGAACCCCTCCTGCGCAAGACACAACACACATTTGTTGATGATTGTGAAATTAGTCAGCCTACTTTTCTTGTTTACTTTGGGCAACACACACAAATGTGTTGTTCCCCAAGCCCAATCTGTCTAAAGGTACCTGAAACCATGAGTGTATACCATGCATTATAATATTCTCCAAGTTGGAGAATGTTTAAATAATATATAGTTCAGGGAATTGCACCAGCAATTCAAAAAATATATTTAAAAAATACAGAATAGAAAAAATAAGAACACAAACAAAATTATTAGCTTAAAAATAATAACTTGATTTACTGGTGTCAGCCTTATCATAACAATATTGATGATGTTCCCTTGATTAGCTATATCAGTTATTAACGTAATCACCAACATAATTTATATCAACATTTTGTCCAAGGGCCAAGCCAGATTCATACTTAGGATTTCCTTTCAGTTTTTGTTTTCCTATAGAATAGCACTATGACTTCTGCTTTGAAGACAGGGACTTGGCACTTGGAGAAAGGGGTCAAACCCTCACTACCCATGTCCTTTCTCAGATATAAACCCATCTACTTCCAGGGGTGGTGGTGGTGTGGAGGAGGAGACAGAAAACATCTGCACTGGTCTTTCCCCACACCCATGGAGCTAATAGTAGCTTGCCAGAAGGCAGAGGGTGGGGATTAATGTTGGTGAGAAAGAATTAAACATTGCCCAGAGCATCTCCATTCTTCAAACATTTGGGACTAATAATCAAAGCAAATCCTAATGACTGATATATCTGGTTAGGTCCTTAGCCACAATGGCGAATAAACTCAATGTATGACTAACTGATCACTGTCATTCAAGAGCTACATTCCCCCCCTAAAATTCAACATTTTCAAAAGATTCTCTCATATAACCTTTTCCCTAACAGGGAGGTCACCAAAAACATCTGGAGGGCAGATGCTGGCTACTCCTGCCCTAGGTGAGCCACAGATGCCTATAAGAGCACATATGAAGCAACTACAGAGTCCAGTTCTCTTGCTCTGAATGAAAATAAACTCTGCCCACTAATGAGATTCTTGTTGGGCTAATCCACTCAGAATGCCTACACTTCCACCTTCCTGGACCCAAGCTCTTTGCATTTCTTTACCTTTCTTGCAGTCCCACAGATTTAACCGTTAGGGTTGCTGGATCTGTCTCTACTTTCATATCCATCACACAGTCAAATACTGGTGTCTCTGGCACGGGGTCCAGATCGAGGAATTCATCTTCAGTTTTGTCCTCTGTCCACTCGGAATAGGTGAATGAAGGCTGGCGGCTTACAGACTGTCGCCTGTCCTCTTGGAGGGGAAATGGGGGATCTGGAGGTGTCTTCAGCAGATACCAAATCTATGGGGAAATATACAGTATCTGGACCTTTCTGCATGTTTGAAAAAGGACTTGCCTTTTCAGTGATCAATGGGTCCATTATACTTCTGCATAATAAAACTGCACTAAAGCAAGCTGGAAAATGCTACACAATCAACTCTTTCTTGCAAGTGTCACAAGAGGACTGTCCATTCTATGTTTGCAGTGAGGCAGAGGGCTTTATGGAACCTGCTAGGCATTGCCACTGACTACAGCAGAGCCATTCCATGCATGGAAAGTCTGTGTCAATGCCAAATGTGAAATCACTTGCTCCTTTGTGTAGTGATCAAATGTGAATGAGTGCACAAAAATCACATGTAAGCCTAGGTCACAGGCTGTGACTACTCCAGAATCATGGAGAAATAGGATAATTCCCACCCACCCCCGTCCCAGAAAGGGGAAGGCTGTTTGAAAGAGCAATCACTGCCTGCTCACAGTCTGCATACTTGGAGTTGGCTTGTCCATGTGGTGGCTGATTCAAGTGGCATCCCCAAGGGGTGGCATCCTGTTTCACCACCCAGCTTTGCTGCTAGCCTCCCCAGCTTCCAGGAGCAGAGCAGGTCTAGCGGCAAAGCTTTGCAGAGCGCCTCCCCTCCTGGAAAGCCAGAGAAATGGGGTGGCACTCTGCCACTCACCTTTGCTGCTGGTGCAGGAGGGGGAGATCTCCCTCTGCCCAGTGGTGTGGTGGACCTTTGCACTGTTTCACCACAGGTGAGCGAAAGAGAAAAAAGCTGTGCTCACACACCTTGCAAAGCAATGCTATAATCAAATCACTTTCAACTCTCCAATGAAGTATTGCTGTCTTTAGTCAGAGACACCCTACACCAGGAACTCAATTCATTTTAAAAAGACACTAGGTCTCCTGCAAATACAAGAGAGTTATTTTATAAGTTCCTTGTTCATTCAAATAATCTTAAAAAGAGAAGAACCAGTCAATATAGCTCAGAAGCCAGAATAAAGCTCATAGATGAACATCGTTATCCCGGTGTGAAGCTAAATTTGGAGCAGGGAACCAGGTATACAGAAAAGCAGAGTGTGACACAAGTCCAGAACTAAAAAGAGTATTGAATGACAACAAATGTTTGGAAAATCACCTTTCTTGAAAATTCAGAAAATCTGACATGTAAGGAAGGGTTCTACTCAATTCATAGCGTTACACTTTATTTAGTGGATATATTATAATCAGAACTGGCTACCCCATTCTCAAATTAAGTCACTAAGTTTGAAATGGACACACACACACACGCACACACACACACACACTGGCAGTTGTCAAATATTTCAACATCTGTCAGAGAAGAGAAGGACAACAACTGTCCACAGAGAACAGGACAAGGATCAATGAGGCAGGTTCAGGTTGAAAAGAAATTTCCGAGCTACTAGAGCAAAGCAATAAAATAAGCAGCTTAAGGATGCAAATCCAATCTACCCCTTTGGGGGCTGTCAAGGAAGGTTAAGAGAAGCCTCCATTTATAGGGGCCTCACCTAGAGACAGGAGTGGTGGAGGGCAGGGCGTTGGCACAGTCAGTCTGCTTGGTCTCTATGACTGTGCAAACAGCGTTTCCAGAAAACTGCATTAAATCTAATTCAGATATTCAGCTGTTAAATACACAAACCAACTTAATTTAATAACCTGTGAGGATAAGTTCAAGTCTGCTTTTATTCAATGCAGAATATCCGCAATTTAACAGCTTGCTCAAAGGGCTCCACTGTTAAAAACAGTGTGCTGCCTATAATCTCTGGCAAAGTGCCAGGACTTCAACCTCTCCCTGTCCTCTAAGGAAGTATCCAAACCATAGTTAGGCCCGGGACCCGGGGGCTGGATCTGGCCCAACTGCCTTCTAAATCTGACCCGCAAACGGTCCAGGAATCAGCGTGTTTTTACATGAGTAGAATGTGTCCTTTTATTTAAAATGCATCTCTGGGTTATTTGTGGGGCATAGGAATTCATTCATTTTCCCCCCTTCAAAATGTAGTCTGGCCCCCCACAAGGTCTGAGGGACAGTGGACCGGCCCCCTGCTGAAAAAGTTTGCTGACCCCTGATCCAAATCAACAGGGATTTTTTCTTATGTGATCTGCTAAAGAGAATGGCACAAGTGCTTTTCAGTTCATACATCATTCCATGTTCTGCCACCATTGGCATTCTACTCCCTTCTATTTATGTAAAATTAATTTTTCATAACATATATGTATATTTTTTTCAAATACTTCATCTCAGAGAAGTTTCAACTGACCCTTTTCCTGGTCACTCTCTTTCATTTTCTGCCTTCATTTTTAGAGCTTTTATTCTTTTTCATTATTTGTGTGAATTTTTGCCAGTGTACTTCTGCGTCCATTTACCAAGACACCTTGTTAATTTTGACCTGATTTCTTTTAGCAGAGGTTAAAACTGGGCTGTTTCACACAATGTGTCAAAAACTGTAATTGATATTGTTGAGCCACAACAGAGAAGTGAAGAGAAATAAAATGTGATAGGAGTGTTACTCTGGCAGTACCCAAAGGTGTGATCTATTCTACAAACGTGTATCAGTTTTCTAGCAGTAAAAGGTAAAGTAGCAGTGGCATTCCCAAATAACCATGGGAAGTGTAGTTTGGTGAAGTAACCTTTGTGATCTTTCCTTTCTCAGCAATTATAAACCCAAGAGTTCTCTAGGATAAATATATTACTGTTAAACTGGTTTAAGTCTGCAGTGTAAATATAACTCTGTGAAAAGGGGAAATATGTACTTTGTAAGGTAAAGGGACCCCTGACCATTGGGTCCAGTCGTGACCGACTCTGGGGTTGCGGCGCTCATCTTGCTTTCTTGGCTGAGGGAGCTGGCATACAGCTTCCGGGTCATGTGGCCAGCATGACTAAGCAACTTCTGACGAACCAGAGCAGCGCACGGAAACGCCATTTACCTTCCTGTTGGAGCAGGACCTATTTATCTACTTGCACTTTGACGTGCTTTCGAACTGCTAGGTTGGCAGGAGCAGGGACTGAGCAACGGGAGCTCACCCCATCGCAGGGATTCGAACTGCCGACCTTCTGATCGGCAAGTCCTAGGCTTTGTGGTTTAACCCACAGCGCCACCCGCGTCCCCAAGGATGTGTCAGAAGTGGGATGTGAACCCACGCCTCCTATTTGTAGGTTTATGCTAAATGATGTGATAACCAACACAAAAATAATACTGTTGTATCGTCACATCAGTACTCCAGTTGGCCGCAAGAGCTTCTCGCACTCAAGCAGAAGCTGCGTTGGATGTTAGGCTTCCGAAAGACGTTTGAAAACCAGAGCGTTTACTTCCGGATTTTCAGCATTCGGGAGCTGAAATGTTCCAAAAAGGAGCCGTTCGGGAACCAAGGTTTGACTGTACTATAATTTTTGACACTTAATAAGGAAAATTCCCTCTCTCTCACACACAGCTGCTCTCAACATCCCATAAATTAAACATTAGTCCTTGTTGCCCCACTCCCCCCCCTTTCTTGATTAAAATGTTGTTTGTTTCAAATTATGAACTATTATACAGATTCCCCAGTATGTCAAACCTGGATTCTTATTCATCCATTGATGGTGATCTCAGATATGTCCCACCATGGGATCACTTCAGTAATCCATCCCCACTCTCTGGCTTTTGCCAACTAAGCTAACCAAGGGAATTGATGTAACATAAATTAAATTACAGCAACGTATTAACATTGTTGTACCGGCGGGCGCGGATCCGGTTGCAGGCGAGGGTTTGTCTCTCCGGAGAGAGCTCTAGCTTTTCGGCCGAATAGGGAGTTTTTGAGGGCGACAAAACTCCCGCTAACCCTCTGGAGGGTATCCAGAGGTCTTGGTGCCCAGCAGTGCGAAGGTGTCACTCGTCTGGTCGTCAGGTAGCCTTTGTATAAAGGCGAAGAGAGCGACGGAACGAGAGACGGCAATTTGGGCAGCCATTACAGCGGCGAATTAGCGAAGCCTCGAGCCTGCAGGCTAAGCGCCTTGCCCTCGATACAAAGAAACTCAGATACGCAGAAAGAGTGCTGGAAACTGCAAAGGGGAGAGCTTAAGGAAGTATCTGAGAAGAAAGAGAAACAGCCGAGTTCAGCGTTAGCTTGTCTTCAGCGGGAAAAGACGCAGTGTGGTTTGCAGAGCCGAAGGAGAAAGTAAGTTACTGCTAGTGACTACATTGTCCGTCCCTCCCCCACTGACTCACTTTGAAATTAGACCCTCTCCCATTGTAGAGGGGAAAGGGAAACAATCGAGGGAGGGCAGAGAAATGCGGTACTAGAAAAAAACTTAGTCGTCATGGTAACGGAGACACAGAACTACAAAGAGCAATCTACATAAAAAAAGACAAAAGGAGATTACTGTTAAGAGGACTTTGACTAAGACTCCTGTGAGACGTTATGCCAAGTGGTTTATAAGAAAACTCCGGGAGTAGGGAAGACTACTCTTTGGACATTTGGAATCACGTTTGCTATTGTATCGCGGTTTGGGAGCTTTCTTTATCTGCTACGTTTGTTATACTTTCTCTATCTTTTTTGGACTTAACATTTGGGTCACGGAAAGAGGCAGGAACGGGGGAAGAACAGTGTGAACAGCGTGAAACCACAAACAGGAAAGACTAATTGACTAACTCTCTATACACTTAAGAACTCTGCTTAAGAACGGACTCCCCCTGCTGGACTAAATTAAGCATTGCACCTAAATTTTGGAAAAGATTAACTGGAGATTCAGACTCTCACAGGCTAAGTGGTTGTTAAAGTGGTTGTTAAAGAGTGGGTGGAGAGTTAAAGACTCTCACAGGCTAAGTGGTTGTTAAAGTGGTTGTTAAAGAGTGGGTGGAGAGTCTGAATTGAGGCGGGAAGAGTGTAATCAGAATCTGGTTGGTGGACCTAACTAACCTCTTTAAAACCTCTGGAGGGGAGGGATAGTTTTTCTTTTTATTTTATTTTTTCGGTTGGGGAAACAGACTCTGTTACTTCAAGTGACTATTTCAAGTGGTTAAATTTAAGA